CCTAGACCCTACACACCTAAACTCTGAAGGAAGACCTCCCTTGGTCCCCCTTCCCCCCTAAACCCTAAACCCTAAAACCCTAAAACCCTAAAACCCTAAAACCCTAAAACCCTCAAACCCTAAAACCCTGAACCCTAAACCCCAAACCCTAAAACCCTAAAACCCTAAACCCTAAACCCTATAAACCCTAAACCCTGAACCCTAAGCAATAAACCCAGCGTCGAAAGAAGCCGGGCATTTGAGGAACCCCGGCCTTGTCCGCCCAACCTTCCGAGGATTTGGAGTTTGAAGCTTAGGGTGTAGGGGTTTAGGGTTTAGGGTTTAGGGTTTAGGGTTTAGGGTTTAGGGTTTAGGGTTTAGGGTTTAGGGTTTAGGGTTTAGGGTTTAGGACTCGCTTAGGGTTTGGAGCTTAGGGATAAGGGGTTGAGGGTTTAGGGGTTTAGGGTTCAGGGCTTGGAGCTTAGGGTTTAGGGGTTTAGGGTTTAGGGTGTAGTTTAAGGGTTCGGGGAGACAGGTGCTGAGTCGTTGGGCTCCGTAAAAGGAGTTCGGGTTTGGATTTGGGGTGGCATGCTTGTTGGCATCTCCTTTGGGTTTCGGGCTAAGGGGCTGCGGGTGGGAGGGTTGAGTTCAGGGCATCGGGCGCCGGACCCGAAATCCAACCCATTTCGGCGCCCTGACCATCTCGACAACCCAGGCGGCCATGCCCTCAGGGAAGGACCCAAAGCAGAGTCATGGGTTCACCCTAAACCCCTAACCCTAAAACGCTAAACCCCCAAACCCTAAACCCCAAAAATGGGGTGCCGAATTCCGGGCTTCACCAGCCATAGCCCGAAGGCCTCCGCCCAGCAAACCATGCTTCTAGGCCGTGCGACCCCTCGAATGCCACACCGTGCACTTCGGACCCTGAACCCTAAATCCTGAACCCTAAACCCTCAACCCTAAACCCTGAACCCTGAACCCTAAACCCTAAACCCTGAACCCTAAACCCTAAACCCTGAAGCCTAAACCCTAAATCCTGAACCCTAGACCCTGAACCCTAAACCCTAAACCCTGAACCTTAAAGCCAAACGCTTCAAACCGTGGAGCCCCTGGACCCGGCTCTGAAACCCGCCTAATCTAAGCCCTGCACTCTAAAACCGTTCAACACGAAAGCCATAAAACCCGAAGGTCCTAAAACCCCAAACCCTACGACACAACGAAAAAAGCAATAACAAAAACAAAAACAAAACACGTGCACACACACACACACACGCAAACTGTTTAATTAATAAAAACCCAAATGCAAAAACTAAGGAACGAAACGAACTGCTTTAACCCACCCTTTATGCACTCAGAAGCACTAAAAGAGCCCCAAAACCCCGCGGTTCTCTCGCGCTCCCAGCTGGCCCGATCCGTGGAGTACATGCGGCCGAAGGGAACCTCCTGGTCCAGGCCTCAGCTCTCTCCATCATGGGGTTTAGGGTTTAGGGTTTAGGGGTCTAGGGTTGGGGGCTTAGGGTGTAAGTTAATAGGGGTTTAGGAGTTCAGGGTGTAGGGTTAGGGTTGGGGGTTTAGGGCTTAAGGGTTTTAGGGTTCTGTCTCCATCATTGTTTTGTTTTTTGTTTGAAGGCCTTTGTGGTGTTTCCATCATGGGGTTCAGGGTTTAGGGTTTAGGGGTTTAGGGGTTCAGGGTTCAGGGGTTCAGGGTTAAGGGCTTTGGGGTTTTAGGGTTTAGGGTTTGAGGGTTTTGGGGTTTTGGGGTTTAGGGTTTAGGAGTTTAAGGTTTTAGGGTTGGGAGTTTAGGGTTGGGGGTTTTAGGGTTTAAGGGGTTTAGGGTTTAGGGTTTTAGGGTCTCAGGGGTTTAGGGTTTAGGGGTTTAGGGGGTTTAGGGTTTGGGTTTTAGGGTTTAGGGGTTTGGGGTTTTAGGGTTTAGGGGTGTAGGGGTTCAGGGTTTAGGAGTTTAAGGTTTTAGGGTTGGGGGTTTAGGGTTGGGGGTTTTAGGGTTTAAGGGGTTTAGAGGTTTAAGGGGTTTAGGGGTTTAGGGTTTAGGGGTCCTTAAAAAACTCTAAACCCTAAACCCTAAACCCAGGGGTTTCGGTTTAGGGTTTAAGGTTTTGAGCTTCGGGCTTTCGTCCATAGGGTTCCTCTAAGGCGCTCCTTTAAGGGGTCCCTTCAGAGTTTTACAAGGGTCCTTTTAAGGGGCAAAGTATGGGCCTCTTTGGCTTACAATTTAAGTTCAAATGCTTATCTTCTTTGGTCTGGGGTTGAGGGTTGAGGGCCTCGGGTTTGGGGTGTACGGCTGCATTATGATACGGCTATGTAAGAATGAGGGCTCGTTACTACTATGCAGCTACCAATACGTAGCTACTAAGCTAAGGCCTCTTCGATGTTCATGAGTGTCGGGCTGCATTTTGGCTTAGGATTGAGAAGTTCAGGGCCTACCCATAGGCCCCATAGCAGCTCCTTTTTGCGATTACCTACTAGGATCCTAAATACAAGCCACAAAAAGGAACTACTATGGGGCCTATGGGTTTAGGGTTTAGGGTTTTGGGGTTTGGGTTTGGTGCCGGGGTCTTCGCTGAATCGCGGTCGTTTGTGACAGATCCCAGAAGCCCAGCACCCTCCAAAGAAAGGAAAAGGCCCTCAAAAGATGGGGCTCAGGGTTTAGGGCTTAGGGGCGTAATGGTGCTTACTGGTATGGTTCATACGAAACCCTAAACCCTAAACCCTAAGATTCCTTGACTTTAAGGGGTATTGGCACTTGGGCTCCATGGGTTCATCAAAGCCCTCAAAGCCCCTGAAGCCTGGCTCCCCAGAATCCAAAGTCCCAAGAAACTCTATACCACGAGGCCCCTAAACCCTAAACCCTCAGCCGTAAAGCCTAAACCCTAAGCCCTAAACCCTGGGCCCTAAGCCCTAACCCCTAAACCCTAAGCCCTGAACCCGAAACCCTCAGCCCTAAACCCGAAGGCCCCAAAGCAAAAGCCCCCAAAAGGCCCCGAAGCAAGCGAGGCGGAAAGAGGCCGCTGCTGAACATGGCTTCGGAGATGCCTTGGGCTCTTTGGAATTTGGGGTCGAGCCGAACAAAACCTACCTTTTTAGGATTATGGCATCTTAAATATAATGCCTTAGAAAAAGTAGGCGTGTTTGGCCACGAGTAGCCTTCAGAAGTTTAGGGGGGTGGGGCCGGGTGGGGCTTGGGGTGGGATTGGGGCTACAGGATTTCAAGGGTTGGCTTAGTGTTTCGGCGAATCCGAGGGTTCGGCTTAAGGTTGCACGCTTTCGGGGGGGGGGTCGGACATTTGGGTCTTTCAGGCTTCGTGGCTTCAAAGTTTTACAGGCATATATACAGGGTTCAAGGCTTGAGTAATTTAGTGTCTGTGGGGCTTTATGCTTCTATGGTTCTTTGACCCAAGACTTGGGTTGCACGCGGGCTTAGGGTCCAGGGTTTAGGGATGCAGGGTTTTCGCTTTAGTCCACTGAAGGGCTCGGATTGCGGGCTTGCTCCATGGTTGATTGAAATTGCTTCAACAGAGCAAGCCAATTCGATTCTAGTGCAGCCGTAGTTACAAATCTAGTTGTACAGTCCAAGTCGCACTTGCCTACTCCGCCTCCTCCTCCTCCTGCTGCTGCTACTGGTGCGACTACCACTACCACTACCACTACCACTACTACTACCACTCCCACTATCACTACCACTACCACCACCACTAC